TATTTGTGGATCTTTGTCAGGAGGAGGTCATGTTTCCCCACCACTCTTCGCTTTCAAGTTCAAGACTCCAAGCCTCTTCCGCGTTTCTTGCTTGCATCCCTTTGGGATTGGGGATGACGGAAGTTTTTTCTTTTGCCCAACTGTTTTCAGAACTAACAACTCTAAAACTCACTCCGTAAGCCTCAAGTTCCAGAATCTAGTAAGTCGGAGGGATATGGGGAACTTGGGTGGTGGGATGGGGGGGTTGATACATTGCTCCTGCCCACCTTAGCTGGACCCTCACCTGTCCCGGTGATATGTCTGGAGACCTGAATACCTCACTCAGTGGAATTACACGTGGGTATCCTGGGGCAAGTCTCCCAGCCTCAGTTTTCTTGACACTTTATCTGTTTTGCTGCTCCCTGATCGCTATTTCACTTTCCTCCTGGGTCTTTTCCAGGCCTTCTGTTGCTCAGTTCTTAGCACCTCATAGCCTGACGGTGCTTAGTCAATTTGGGCTGGCTGATAAAAAACACGATCGTAACATTTTTGGAGCGCTTATCACATGCTTTATAAAAATCTCAGGGGATTCCCCCTGCCAACCCAGGAGGTGGGTTATATTATTAAATCCAGCTTGCAGTTGAGACAGTTGAGAGGTCAAAGCATTTAAAGTGCTTGTCCAGGGTAATAGCTAATCTGTGAGGGAGGATGTTAGGTTTTGAATCCACCAGGCTGTGTGTGACTGTGTTATGTCTGGTAGGACCGTATCCTCTGGCAACAGTTCAGGCAGAAAGCCAAAGCATCTCTGACTCTGCCTCCAGTCCTGCAAACCAGCAGCCCCAGGACCACCAGGATGCCTTCCAGTGATTCTCAGTCAGGTGGGCAGAGACATCTGGGAGCTGGTGTGGGCGTCAGGGACAGAATAGAGTGATCCCTCTTGACCCCTGGTGACACCATGTGTGTTTGGGTGGGGGGAATGGAAAACCCCAGATTCCAAGTTTCATGCAGAAATTTATTTCCCAGTTATGGAAGTGTATGTTTCTGGGTCTGTCAGGAGGAGGAAACTTTTCCCATCAGTCATTCAGGGATCCAGGCTGCTTCAATCTTGCTCTCTGACATTTTGTAAAGTCTATTTTTAGGGGTGGGGGAGGGGCACACCTAATGGTGCTTAGAATATATTTCTGGCTCTGGGCTGAGGGATCATTCCTGGTGGGGCTCAGGGGGAGCCGTACAGGGTGCTGGCGATCCAACCCAAGTCGGCCACATGCAAAGCAAGCATCCTATCCACTCTGACCCCTTAACTTTTTTTTTTCTTTTTGGTTCACACCCGGCGATGCACAGAGGTTACTCCTGGCTCATGCACCCAGGAATCACTCCTGGTGGTGCTCGGGGGACCAGAAGGGATGCTGGGAATTGAACCCGGGTTGGCCGCATGCAAGGCAAACGCCCTACCTGCTGTGCTATTGCTCCAGTTCCTTAACATTCCTTTTAATAACAACATTTCTGTGGTACTCTTTTATTATCCAGAAACAAATTTCATGGGGTAATATAGCCTACCTATGAAATCACTATAAAAATAGTCAACTGAAGGGCCGAAGGGAGAGCTCAAAGGGCTGGAGCTAATGTTTTGCAGGCCCGAGCTCCAGCTTGGTTTCTCAGCATCTCACGGTACCCCAGCACCAGTGGGTACTTGCCTTGTGTGAGGCTGGCCACAGTTCAGATCTCAAGCACTGAGTATGGTGCCCCGAGCATTGCTGTGGGTGGTCCCCAAATAGACAGACACACAGACAATCTTAATGCCTTAGTTGCTACATGGATATTTTGACATCTGTGCTCAGAAAGGCCTGCACTAGAGAAATGTGATAACCAAAAGCTCATTGGGACAGTGGCAAATGCAGGGATGGCAACGGGGACTCAGGTATAGAGAAGAATTTCTCATTACAGCCTTGATGGGAAGTGGTGCTCATGTCTTGATCTCAACAGAACAAAGCACAGTCTTCCCATGATGGTAGCAGCTTTCCTAGAAAACGGTGTTCCAGTAAAACCCCACAACATGCCTTTGTGTTCATGAGTAAAACAGACAGATTCTGGGGACAGGTCGTTTTTTTTTGGTTGTTGTTTTTTTGTGGGAATTACCCGACTCTGTGCCTCAGGGGCCCTATTCTGTGCTGGTAGTTAAACCAGTGTTGAGGCCGCAGCCACATGCTAAGCAAGTGTCTTTATCTTATTTATTTGCTTGTTTTTGGTTTTGGTCCATACGCTAAGGACTTCCCCTGGCTCTGAGCTCACTCTTGGTAAGACTTGGAGGACCACATGGGGTGCCGGGTGTCAAACCTGGGTGACTAGATGTAAGACAAGTGCCCTACCCGCTGTCTTTCTTGGCCCCATGCTTGTAGATTTTTTGGGGGGGTTACACCCAGCCATGCACAGGGGTTACTCCTGGCTTTGCACTCAGAAGTTACTCCTGGCGGTGCTCAGGGATCCATATGGGATGCTGGGAATCGAACCCGGGTCAGCCGTGTGCAAGGCAAACGCTTTACCCGCTGTACTATCACTCCAGCCCCCACACCTGTAGGTTTTTACTCTCCGCATCCACTCATGTCAGCAAGGCCCGGTGGGGATCGGAGCCTTTACCTTTACCCAGCTCCACGGAGGCAGAGCAAATTGGCAGGGAGTGGGGCTCTTTGGCATCCACTCCCCATGCTGATTTGGCATGTCAGTGTTCCCTGGCACACAGCTGTACTTACATTCCCCACTTGGAGGTGATGAGGTGATGCGAGCTAGTGCCCAGCCTTCTTTCACCGGAAGGTCTCAGCAGGGCCACGGGCAGAGCTGAACTGCTGCTCTCCCCATCTGCAGAGCCAGGCTGAGCCAAGCCCCCGCTCTTGCCGCGGGCTGAGCACCGGCAGCTTGGTGCTGCATTGCAGCAGGACACCGAGCGCTAAAAAAAGAGGAAATAGGATCCGGTGAGATGTTGTAAAACCGTCAGGATACGAACACAATCACTCATCGGACGGAGGAGGAGGAGGACCAGAACATGAAGGAGAACAGATGGAGAATAAGGCCTCTGAAGGCCTCCGATAAGACCTAAATAAATGGAGAGACACGCTATGTTCATGGCTTGGAAAACTCAATGTAGTAAATATGTTCGTTCCTCCTCGCTCATCTGTATGCTAATGCAATTCCTATAAAAATACCTCTTGGGTGGGAGAGATGGTACAGTGGGCGAGGCACTTGCCTTGCATATAGCTCACTTGAGGTCAGTCCCTAGCATCTCACATTATGCCCCAGCACCTCCAAGAGTGATCCCTAAACAGAGAGCCAGGAGTAAGCTCTGAGCCCTCTGGGTGTGACACCCCCCACACCCACAAACAAACAAAAATTCTGGGCTTGAGGTGCATACTTTACCCTGGTTCTTGCCTCAGTACCACGTGGCCCTTCCATGGTGGCACCACGTGTGACCCTGAAGGCCTCCAAGAACTGTTGAGGTGGCCTGAGCAGCCCATATCCTCAATCCCTAGCTTTGAATTTTGTCCTAGCTGGGCCAAAATCATCAGGAGTAGTCCTGGGTCCCCCCCAAGCTTTGCTTAGAAGACACCCCCCCCAAAAAATATCCCAGGAAGGCTTTTAGATAGATACAGACAAGGTTATTCAAAATTTGATGTAGAAGGGCTGAAGAGATAGTAGAGCAGGCAGCCACTTGACTTGCTTGTGGTTGACCTGGATTCGACCCCCAGCATCCCATATGGTGCCCTGAGCCCTGCCAGTGCTGATCCCTGACAGAAGAGCCAGGAGTAAGGCCTGAGTATCACTGGGCATAGCCCCAAAATGAAAAAAAAAAACCCCAAACACATCACTAAAAAATTTTGGTTTGGTTTTGGGGCCATACACTATATCCTGATGGTGCTCAGGGATCACTCCTGGAGAGGATTAGGGGACCACGTAGGGTACTGGAGATCAAACCTGGGTCTGTAGCACGTAAGAAAAGTGCCTTATCCAGTGTAGTATCTCTACAGCCCCCATTTTTGTTCTGGGACACACCCAATGATGCTAAGGACTTACTTCTGGCTCTGTGCTAAGGGATCACTCCTGGCAGGGCTTGGGGGACCATATGGGGTACCAGGATTGAATCTGGGTTGCCTGCATCAAGACGAGTGCCCTGCCTGCTGTGTTATCTCTTTGATCCCTATTTCTTTCTTTTTTTCTTGCTTTTTGGGTCACACCCAGCGATGCTCAGGGGTTACTCCTGGCGGTGCTTGGGAGACCATATGGGATGCTGGGGATTGAACCTGGGTCTGCCATGTGCAAGGCAAACGCCCTATCCATTGTACTGTCGCTCCAGCCCCAGTGTTTTTTGTTTTGTTTTGTTTGCGTCACACCCGGCAATGCTCAGGGGTTGCTCCTGGCTCTGCACTCAGGAATCACTCCCGGCCGCCGCTCGGGGGACCACATGGGATGCTGGGAATCGAACCCGGGTTGGCCGCGTGCATTCAAACACCCCACCCGCTGTGCTATTGCTCCAGCCCCCTCCAGCCCCAGTGTTGCCCCCATTTCTTAAAACTCTGTGTGACCCTGAATTTATCTCAAAATAAGTTTAATTAAAAAAAGATAGCTAATTAGCTACTATTAATAATGAAAATAAGTACTTCTTATTAGAGCTACAAATAATCCTAAATTGTTTACGTTTGACTTACAAATCTTAGGGTTTTTATAATAACTTGTAAGGAATATTTTGGAACTTGGTTAATTAAAGTTCCCTAAGCCTCTCAAACACATTAATACATTTAATATAGTTTCATTTTAAAATAGTTAACTTGTCTGATTAAGAAAAACTATCGAGTATTTAAATAATTCTTGTTAATCTAATAAAGTTCTAAACCTGGGTGCTCTTAATGTTCTTTTACAAGTTTTGGAAATTCATACACATTTAATAAGAGTGGCTTTAACCTTTCCACTTATTTATGTATGTATTTACTTATTTTTGAGTTTTGAGCACACCTGGTGGTGTTCAGGGCTTACTCATGGTTCTGGCGGGGCTCGTGGACTTCATGCAGTTTCAGGGACGGAACCTGGGTTAGGTCTTCGTAGAGCAAGCGCCTTAACCCTTCTATTATTTCTCCAGTCTTCAGCCTTTCCATTTCAGAGAAATCTAAATCAACCTCATCCACATATTTAAAACTAGAATCACAGATGAATCGATGAATCATGTCTCTTAATATAATTAAATACCATATATACAGGCATTTCATAAATGTAACAGAATTATTTTGTCATCTTTATACTAATACCAAAATCTCTCAAGGCTAAGGACATTAGTGCATTAAAAAAGAATCCTTGGCTCTCAGCCACTGCCCACTCTGGGGTATGCTGTGGAGCCCCAGCATGCTGGTCTAAATAAACCCTGTTTTTACTCCTGCAAAAAAAAAAAAAAAAAAAAAAGAATCCTTTACTAGGGCTGGGGAGATGGTTTACCAATACACATGCTTCGAGTATTGAATGTTTTTTTTTTTCGGGGCCATACCTGATTGTCTAGTGGTGTTCAGAGTTTACTACTGACTCCGCATTCAGGAATCACTGCTGGTGGTGCTCAGGGAACCACATGGGATGCAGGGTATTAAACCTGGGTTGTCCCTGTGCAAGGAAAGCACCCTCCTGCTTTGCTGTCGCTTTGGCCCCTGCTTTGGGTATTGGAGTCCTGAGTTCCATCGCTGGCGCTGATGAAACAATTTGTTCCCTGAGTACTGACTGCCAGGAGAGACCCTTAGGACATGGTGTGTGGAACTACTTCCCAAATACACACACGCACACGCACACTCATACACAAACAGAATACACACATTTGCACACACACACATACACAAACAGATACACACACGCACATACACACACACACACAAGCAGGATAAGGCTATTTTATTTTAGGCCTGCATCTGGCAACGTGCAGTGTTTACTCCTGGCTCAGCACTCAGGGATCACTCCTTTGAGACTCACGAACCATATGGGGTGCTGGGGATCAGATCTGGGTCAGCCACGTGCAAGGCAAGCACTCTACCTGCTGTACTATCTCTTTGGTCCCCAAATGCAATTTCATATATAAGTCAGGGTACAAATAGCAGCAGCTTTCTGGGCCATTTGCCTTATGCAGGTGCAAACCTTCTAAGAATATGCCTTTCAATTGCTTCATTTAGATCTGAATTGTTTCCATTTACTTTTTGCTTGCATTTGGCCCACATCTAGTGGTGCCCAGGGCTTACTTCTGGCTCTGCTTAGGGACCCACTGACAAGACAGCCAAAGTGGGCCTTCCTGACTCGGGTCGCGTTGAGACTGGGTGCCTGACCATCTTCCTCGCTGCTCCTTCTTTCCCTTCTGCCCACACTCAAGCTCAATCTCCCCCAGCCCCCCTTCTCTCTCTACTCTCAGATGGGTGTGTCTTGTCTCCCAGGTTCCTAAGGTGTTGAATTTGTAACCCTGGGCACAGGGTGGGGTGGGGGGTAGCACGGTAGCACTATCGGCCCATTGTTTATCGATTTGCTTAAGCGGGCACCAGGAACGTCTCCATTGTGAGGCTTGTTGTTACTGTTTTTGACATATCGAATACGCCAGGGGGAGCTTGCCAGGCTCTGCCATGTGGGCAGGATATTCTCCGTAGGGCTCTCCAAGGGGGATGGAGGGATGGAACCCGGGTTGGCCCGGTGCAAGGAAAACGCCCTACCCGCTGTGCTATTGCTCCAGCCCAGGGGAGGGGGGAATCTCCTATGAAGTTTGAGTTCCCTGGGACCATCCACCAGGCCTGGGCTGGATCTCACTCTCTTTGCTTTTTCCCTTCCCCTAGGGTTGTATTTCAAGCCCACTAAGTGGATAACAAGGACTCAACAGGAAATAAACAGAGAGAAATTGGAAGTGATAAAGATGCAAAGCAAATTCCGTTTAATTCGGGTATGAGGCACATCGTTTTACAGGCCCGGGGGTGCCAAAAGGGGTAGGGAACTGGGATGGAGCAGGGGTGGGTGGTTGTGGATCTGGCAATGGTCTATACTAGGTGCCTCTCAAGTGTCATATATTTCCTACGCATAGAGATGCTGTGGATCTACTTATTGTCATCCCTAATTTACCGATGGGGAAAAATTTGGGTGCAGAGAGAGAAATGACTTGTACCAGGTTACACAAGCAGGAAAATGATGGCACCGAAGATGGAAGCCAGTTAATGTTTGCCATTGTGTTTAAGACTCAGGAAAATGATCAGAATCGTTTTAAAAGAATAACTCATTGCATTAAGAATACAGTCTAGTAGATTGTTCATTTTTAAAACTTCCTGTAAAATACTATTTCATAGAATACAGTGTACCTGGAAGTGAGGCTTAGCAGCTATTTTAGAAAATGAATTTTCTCACCATCCATTGTTTTTTATGACTTCTGGTATTATCTGAACAATGCTTCAAAGATCTGAAGGATCTTTGAAGAGAGGTCTTTAGCGTCCATTATAGATATCTATACACACACTATAAATACCACAAACTACTACAGAAGAATTCTGAACTTCTTCAAGAAAGTTTTTAATAACCCAGTGAACAATGACTACTATATAAAGAGAAAGGGAAATGTATTTGCTTGGAAGCTTTTTTATTCTCATTTTTGCAACCTGGGTTTTGCTAACGTGGGTTAGAGACTGTCCCTGTATTCTTAAAGGAGAAACTCTCATTTCTGATGTTATTTTTGATTCTTGCTTTCCAGTGGTTTCTGTGTTTTTGCTTGACGCTGAATATGAGCATGCCAATTTGACTTTAAAACCTATGCTCTTTTTTCTTTTTTTCTTTTTGGCTTTTTGGGTCACAGCCTTTATGCTCAGGGTGGTTCTGGAGGTGGGGATCGAACCTGGCTCAGCCGGGTGCAAGAGGAATGCTCTCCCCACTGTGCTATCTTTCTGGCCCCTATAACCTAAGCTCTTAATACGGTCTCTTTGAGGGCTGGAGTGATAGTACAGTGGGAAGGGCACTTGCCTTGCACATGGCCCACCCGGGTTCAATCTTTGGCATCCCATATGGTTCCCTGAGCACTGCCAGGAGTGATCCCTGAGTGCAAAACTAGGAGACAGTCTTGAGCCACACTAGGTGGGCTTCCAAAACAGAACAAAAAGCAAAATACTGTTCCTTGGAATCATTCATTTATTGAATAGATCAGCTTCTTCTTCTTTTTTTTTTTTGGTGCCAGGGATTGAAACTAGGGTCTCAACCTTCTTCTAGGCATATGTTTTACCACTGAACAATGCCCCCAGTCGACAAATATTTATAGCCTACCTGATTTATGCCAGCCCTGCTCTAAGTGTGAGTGTTCTCTCATGATGAGGCCTCTGAACTTAGTAGGGAGTTTTTATTCTTCTGTGGACACAGAAAAATCAGTATATTGTTTGTTTGGTGGTGGCAGTGGGAGCCCTGAGGCATAAGGATGTGTCACTGGCAAATCTGAGGAGTAGCTGGGATTAAAAAAAAAAATATATATATATATATTATTTTTGAGTCACCGTCAGATACATAGTTACACAGCTGGCCATGGCCGGGTTTCAGTCATACAGTGTGCTAGGACTGTTTTGGATAAACTGGTCAGGGAAGATCACTAAGGTGGTGACCTCAGAAGGACAATTGTTTGAGGCAGAGGAACTGCAAGTGCAAAGGCCCTGAGGTCTGTGATGAGGGGAATGGGGAATAGGTAGTGGACAGTTGTTGTGATCCATGACTGGACTCTGGTTTAGTTTGTGTGTAACTGGGCCACACCCAGTGGTGCTGGGGGCTATTCCCTATGTCCAGTGCGGAGGCTACTCTTGGGGACCCTTGAGGGGGGCACGTAGAACGCAGGCCTCTCATATTCAAAGCATGTGCTCCAGCCTCTAGTTTTTGTGTGTCTCTCATTTTTATTTTCTTTTTGTGCCATTTGTGGTGATTAGGACTTGCTTCTCTCTGTGCCCAAGGATCACTTATAGAGGGACCCTATGGGGTGCAAAGGATTGGGCTGACCCTGTGCAAAAGCAAGCTCCTGTATGCTGTTCTGTGTCTCCAGCCTTCGGTCTTTGTGGTTTTGTTTTGTTTTGGGGCCACACCAGAAGTGCTCAGGAGTTAATCTGGCTGTGCACTCAGGAATTACTCCTGGTGGTGCTTGGGAAACCCTATGGGATGCGGTGGATTGAACCGAGGTTGGCCACATGCAAGGCAAGTGCCCTACCTCCTACTGGACTCTCTCTCCAGCCCCATGTACTCAGGGTTTACTTCTGGCAGGCTCAGGGGGACCAATGGGGTGCCAGATAGCGAGCCCACGTTGGCTGTCTGCAAGGCAGGCACCCTATCCTCTGTACAATCACTTTGGTCCCACCTTTGTGTTTCTATGCTTAGCTTTTTTTCTTTTTCTTATTTTTTTGCTTTTTGGGTCACACCCGACGATGCACAGGGGTTACTCCTGGCTCATGCACTCAGGAGTTACTCCTGGCAGTTTTCGGGAGACCATATGGGATGCTGGGAATTGAACCTGGGTCAGCTGCATGCAAGGCAAACACCCTACCCACTGTGCTATCGCTCCAGCCCCATCTATGCCTTGCTTTTATTAGAGTCTTTGGGTTGTTGAACTGTGGGATCGGGCCAACAGAGGGAGAGAGCAGAAACTACCTGGTCAGTTTAAGGATTTTATATTTTGTGGGGGTTCTTCTAAGCGGTGCTTAAGAAACCCAGGGGTCCTTCCTGGAGACTTCCAAGCATGCCGGTCAACAGTTCAGAGTAGGGGCCTGAGGGTGTGGTGCTGTTAGGGTTCTGCGGTGTTAGGGATGACCAGGGTCGCCCTGGCCCTGGCAGTGCTCGAGGGTGCCCAGGGATGCACCCAGCAATGCTTTGGGGGAGGGTATGTGCGTAAGGGATCAAACCACCATTGACCGCGCACAAGGCATGAGTCTTAACCCTGTACTATCTTTCCAGCCCCCACTTGGTTTGTTCTGGAAAACCAAATAGGATTCTCTCACTTAAGACAATGATTTTACAATCTGCAGCTCTTGAGTGAGGGCCGGGTGTGCCAGGCACTATCCAGGCACTGGGACGTGCCTGGAGCCTGGCATACACCGTGTATGCTCACGCTTTGGAGGGGAAGCATAGAGTTGATGGATTCCAGGAACACCATATCATTTATTCTCCATTCCCGTGTGTGGAGCACCAGACACAGGCCCTGCTGATGAGACAGGCCAGTGTCTCTGCCCTTTTTCTTGGCTGTGACATCCTGGTAAGGGAAGGAGACCGGGACCAATATAACCAGGAAAATGTCTGCGTGCCGGGAGGTGATAAGCCCTAACAGAAGAGGAAATTGGGTATAGGGGGCTGGCGGGAGCAATAGTAAAACTGGTCGGGTGCTTGCCTTGCATGCAGCTGACCCGGGTTCTATCCCTGGCATCCCTTGTGGTCCCTCCCCTGAGCGCCACCAGGAGTGATTCCTGAGTGCAAAGCCAGGACTAACTCCTGAGCATTGCTGGGTGTGGTCCCAAAACAAAAACAAACAAACAAACAAAAAAAAAACGAACAAAAATGTTGGGAAATGGGGAGACATCCACTGCAGTTATGCAATGAAAACTTGGAATTGGGTCCAGGAAGGACATGGTGGGCTTTCTCTATTTGTGTCAGTGCCAGGGAAGGGCCTTTTATGGCACACAGAGCATGTGTCCTCAGACCCTTGGGACAGTGTGCAATCCAGAAAAGGATGGAGCTGTGCCAACGCTGGCTTCCTGGACCCACGCCTTGGAGATGGCCCTTGTCAGGCTCCTTGGTGGCTGGGCCTGTTTGGAGATATTCTGGTCTGGCGAGGTGGAGGCAGGACAGTCGAGCGGTTAGCAGCCCAGACTGACCAGGTCAGCAGTTCTGGTCCGTGTGACCTTGGCTGGTTTCTGAATCTCTGAATCTTCTGCTTCTGTAAAAGGGGGCCGATAATAGTGTTTGGCAAGGCTGCGCGTGCAGTGTTACGTGAGCGCAGTGCTGGGCACAGGATAAGCATCTCACTTTTGCATGTAGGCACATCTCTCTTAGTTTTGGGGCCACACCTGGCTGTGCTTAGGGCTTACTCCTGTCTCTGTGCTATAGGATTACTTTTGATGGGGATTCTGGGCTTGAGCTGACTGTGTGCAAGGCAGTTGCCCTACCCACTGTCCTGGCTCTTCAAGCCCTGGGCCCACATGTTGGTGCTCAGGGGCTACTCCTGAGTTGGTGCTTGGGGGTTGTTCCTGGCAGTGTTTAGGATTACAGGGGATTGAACCTGGGCCTCCTGACTGCAATTATATGCTCTGCCCGTTGAACGATCTCTTTATCCCAGACTCTTTTCAGTTATCAATTTTATTTTTGTTTTGGGGGCCACACCCATCTGTGCTCAGGGCTTACTTCTTCTTTGCCCTCAAGGGATCACTCCTGACCATGCTTGGGGACCTATACATGATGCCAGAGATCAAATCCAGGTTGGCCGTTTGCAAGGGAATTGCCCTACCTGCTGTAGTATTGCTCTAGTCCCTCAATGATTAATTTACTGAGGCAGCAACAGTTCACGAGTGTGTAAATGGTGGGGCTGGGGATATAGCTCAGTGTAGTATAAAACAATGGGCTCAGAGTTCCTAGGATTGAACTGGGTTGGCAGCGTGCAAGGCTAGTGCCCTACCTGCTGTCATGTTCTCCAGCCCAGAAAGTATCACTATTTAAAAAATATCTTTTTTTTTTTTTTTTTTGCTCTTGGGTTATTTCCGGGCTGGAGCAATAGCACAGCGGTAGGGCGTTTGCCTTACAAGCAGCCAACATGGTCGACCTGAGTTCGATTCCTCCACCCCTCTCGGAAAGCCCGGCAAGCTACTGAGAGTATCTCGCCCGCACGGCAGAGCCTGGCAAGCTACCCGTGACGTATTCGATATGCCAAACACAGTAACAAGTCTCACAATGGAGACGTTACTGGGCCCGCTCGAGCAAATCGATGAACAACGGGAGGACCGTGACCGTGACTGGGTTATTTCCAGATCTTAGAAAGGAATATAAGTGAAATGACTTCTCCCCTCCTCTCCCTTTCTTTCCACTCCCTTCCCCTCCCTTCCGCTCCACTTTTCAACTCTCTCTTCGCAGAGTCTGGCAAACTCCCCGTGGCGTACCCAATATGCCAAATACCAGTAACAATAATGGGTCTCATTCTCCTAACCCTGAAAGAGCCTTGAATGTGGCACTTTTTAGAGTCTAAGGGCTAGGACGAAGGAGACGTTACTGGTGCCTGCTCGAGGCAATCGATGAACAACAGGATGATCATGATTGTGATTGCGATCCTTTCCTCTTTCTCCTTTCCTGGTTCTTTTTTTCCTTTTTCTTGGTCTCCCGGTGCAGGCCTGATTTTTTTTTTTTCTTTTTGAGTCACATCCAGCAATACTCAGGATTACTCCTGATTCTGCACTCAGGAATTACTCCTGGCAGTGCTCAGGGGACCATATGGGATGCCAGGGAATGAACTCAGGTTGGCTGCGTGCAAGGCAAACCCCTCGTTGCTCTAGTGCCATGGCCTGATGTACTTTGGCCTGGGGGTTATGGTACTGGAGAACACCAGGACCACATTGGTTGGTGCTGGGGATTGAACTTGGGACATTGCGCATGTGAGAGCATTCTTTCCCAATTTGAGCTCTCTCCTGGACCCTGCTTTTTACTTTCTTATTTAGTTTTTGTCTGGGGGGGGCACACCTGGTGGTGCTAAGGGTGACTCAGCCTGGGGCCCAGGTCACTCTCAGCCGTGTTTGGGGGATCCTGTGATGCTGTGTGTCCTAGGAGCCATTTCCCTGGCCCCTGACTTATTTTGTATGTACAGGCTATGGGAGGCAGGCAAAAGTAGTTTCTGGCAGCAGGTAGGGAGGAAGTAGAGTTCACTCTGAGTCTGCTACCAGGCCTGAGGGCACAGGGCGAGGGATGCACTGCCTCCAAGTGGCTGGAGGGTGAATGGCGGGGCCGGGATGGTGAATGGGGGACCTGGATGGTGAATCGCTGAACCTGGATGGTGATGTGTGTGGTTTTGGATGGTGAATCATGGAGCTGGATGGTGAATGTGGGGAATCTCAGGGTCTGGATGTAAATCATGGGGGCTGGAAGGCAAATGAGCTTGCTCAGGTTCCCTGCAGTGACAAAGCTGGAATTTGAGCCGAGCCCTCAAAAGCATGCCTTCATCACTCTGTCAGCTTCAGCCTTGCCTTGCAGTTCTCAGGCCAATCATCAGTCCCTTGATTCAGTGTACGGGAAAGGTAGGTGTCCTCGTCAGAAGCCTGCCTTCTTGTTCTGCCTCCACTTGCTGTGTGATTTTGGGGAAGGCACTTAACCTCTCTGAGTTTCCACCTGTCAGTTAAGTAGAGGAAGCCAACAGAGGACTGTTTGTTGGTGACCAAGGCTGGTGCCCTGTGCTCGGGGAGGCTCCCAGCCGGGCACACGGAGGCCCTAAGCAGTGGTTATTCTTATTGTCGATTCCACGTACTTGTCAGGGGTGCCCTTTCGCAAGTCACTTGATCCCTTAGCTCCAGAGAAGAAAATAAGAGTATTCAGCTGAGCTGACTCCTGAGACCTGGTTGTGAGGTTGGGATATTATTCCCTCTGCTTCTTCTTCCTTTTTTTTTTGGGGGGGGGGGTTACATCCAGCTGTGCTCAGGGGTCACTCCTGGCAATGCTCGGGGGACCATATGGGATTCCTTGCATCAAACCCGGGTCAGCCATGTGTAAGGCAAGTGCCCTATGCTGCCTGTGGCTTTGGCCCTCTTTCATGGCTTTGGGCTGGGGGGTGAGGGCTTTGGGCCACACCCTGCAGACTCTCTGCTCAGCTGTGACACCTGGTGGTGCTCATGAGACCATGTGGTGCTGGGCAATGGAGCAGGAGTCAGACCCTTGCAAAGCAAGCACCTTACCCCTGTCCTGACCCTCGGGCGGCGGCTCCCCGTCACAGGTGGCCCATCTCTTCTGTCACTTCTAGCCGGCCTGGAGCATTCCATTCTCACCGTCCTGGTTCATTGAATCTAGGACGGCTGTTGCTACAGATAAAGGCACAGCTTTATTTGCTCACACTGATAAACACCTTTATTTACCCCCAAATAGCTTTAGATAATTAAGTTGTGAAGCGCTGTCCATTGCAAGGTGCATCCCCGCCTCGGAGGTGTGGAAGACGGGGAAATGGACCTTGGGAGATGGGTGAAATCAAGAGTTGGCCCGCAGACAAAGGGGGCCCGCCGGCTCGCCGGGCCGCAGTTACCGGCGGGGGCCGCCAGGGGGCGGGTGTGAGGCACCAGGGCTCGGTCCCGGGGCAGCCGGACGGGCCGCGGCCCGGCTGGGCCCCGCGGCGCCCGCCCTCACCCCGCGCTCCGCCCGCAGTCGCTGCTCCGGAACCGGCGGGCCACGCTCTTCGAGTTCCGCAACCACGAGCACCTGCTCGCCACGCTCAGCCAGGACCTGGTGAACAAGATCCGGGATCTGGACGACAGCTCGGCCCGGAAAGTGCAGGCGTTGCTACAGCAGCAGAAAACCCTCTCGGTGAGACCCCCAGGCTCCGCCCCGCCTCGCCCCCCGCCTCTGCCAGCCCCGGCCTGGCCGGCCTGCACCGCACTGCCTCGGAGTGGCTTCGTGCTGAATAGCATCTTGTCTTCGCTCATGCAACTTTCTTTCTTTCTTTCTTTCTTTCTTTCTTTCTTTCTTTCTTTCTTTCTTTCTTTCTTTCTTTCTTTCTTTCTTTCTTTCTTTCTTTCCTCCTTCCTTTCTTCCCTCCTTCCTTCCTTCCTTTCTTCCCTCCTTCCTTCCTTCCTTCCTTCCTTCCTTCCTTCCTTCCTTCCTTCCTTCCATCCTTTCTTCCCTCCCTCTTTCCCTCCCTCCCTCCCTCCCTCCCTCTCTCCCTTCCCTCCCTCCTTCCCTCCTTCTGTCCTTCCTTCTTCCCTCCCTCTCTCCCTCCCTCCTTCTTCTCTCCTTTCATACACGGCGGTGCTCAGGGATCACTCCTAGAGGGGAACCTTATGTTTGGGCCCCTGTGTTTACATATTCTAAAATTTCGTTTTATCTGTTTTGGGGCCACACCCGGCGGTATTCTGGGGTTACTCCTGGCTCTGCATTCAGGAAGAATCTCTGATGCCCAGGATGGAACCTGGGTCGGCCAGGCTCCCTCCCCTCTGTACTATCTCTCAACGCCTTTACTTATTATTTCTTTTAAAGGAAAGAGGATTAGAACTGAGATGTAGAGAGTGGATGGAGGGAGGCCAGCTAGGCCTTCCCTTGTAGTGGCACGATGCGCAGGAAACAGTCACTTGCACTGACGAACACAGCCGTGTGGTACTTCAGACAGGAGGAGAGGAGAAACAGAAAAAGATGGAGACCAGGGCATCCTCGTGAGGCCCGTGGGGGGAGAAACCTGTGCAGTTTGGGTGAGAGGGGGGCTAGGAGCTGATGCCTGGGGGTGAGCTGGGGCCAGAGTCACAGGTGGGGGGGAGGAAAGGGGAAAGTTTGCCTGGGGAGTGGTGCGTTTGGCGCGGGGTACGGGTCCGAGGGCAGCTGATGATCCTCATTGCCCACCCCCAGACTTTGTGCTTGGTGGGTAGCAGCAGGGGCTGGGCGTGAGCGGACCCTTCCATCCCACAGACGATCATCGATGTCTTGGAATACGTGCATAAGAAGAAGCTGCAGGATCTGAAGAGTGAGGTGCAGGAATGGGAGGAGAAGGAGGACCTGAAGGTGCACAGTAAGCATGTGCGCCCCCTGGGCCTGGGCGGAGCCAGCGACGAGCCCTCACCCTCTGCCTGGCCCCTCATCTCCCTTCTTAGGCAGATGCCCTCTTGTTTTTGTTTGTTTGTTTGGGGGCCACATCTCGTGGTGTGCTGGGGACAGGCGGCATGCGGTGCCAGGGATCGAATCCAGGCCTGTGAATCCTGCGCTCCGGCCGTTGGAGTCCCATCCCTGGTCCGGTGCCGTTGTTGGGATGCGGAGCGCCTAGCTTCCCCGTGGTGTGCTTTGCATTTCCGATTCTGTGTGTCATTTCACGCACCTGTAAGGCGGGTCCGCTTCTCCCATTTCACCCACGAGGAAACTGAGGCCACAGGGGATAAGTCCCTGCTCAAGGTGCTGGGAACCAGAATCCTGCCTAAGCTCGCCTCGACTTCCTGCTGAGGTGCTTCTGAGATTTGTGGCCGGGCCCCGGGTGTCCTGGCCTCCAGCCCTTCACCTGACCATCCTGTGGGACAGACAAAGACCTCTTCTGGGGAGGGGCTGGGCTGTCAGGCAGCCTTAGATGTTGGGGAATGGGATGGTGGAATGGGAACCAGTATCGCGTGGTGTGTGTGTGTGTATGTGTGTGTATGTGTGTATATGTGTATGCATGTATGTATGTGTGTGTATGTGTGTATATGTGTATGCATGTATGTATGTGTGTGTATGCGTATGTGTGTATGTGTATGCATGCGTGTATGCGTATGTGTGTATGCATGTGTATGTGTGTATGCATGTGTGTATATGTGTGTATGTGTATGCATGTGTATGTGTATACATGTGTGTATGTGTATACGTGTGTATATGTGTGTGTATGCATGTGTATATGTGTATATGTGTGTATGTGTGTATTCATGTATGCGTGTGTGTGCATGTGTGTATGTGTGTGTACATGTATGTGTATGTAGGTGTATATATGCGTGTGTGTGTGCCCCAGGACAGCAGAGGGCGTGTGGGCGAGGCGTATGCAGCATAGTGATCTCCACCCCATTTGTTTTTCTCTTTCTTTCCCTGTGTTGCCTCTTCTTTTCATTTGGGGGTGAGGGTCATACCAGCAGCACTCAGGGTTTACTCCTGGCTCTACACTCAGGGATCACTCCTGGTGGGGGGGGTGGTCTAGGGTGACCATATGGGGTGTGGGGATCGAACCCAGGTTGGCCGCAGAATGCAAAGCAAGTGCCCTACCCACTGTGCTCTCCGGCTCCTGCTTTGACTCTTGCACCTCGGGGCTACAGGACTCTGGAGGGGCTTAACTCTCAGCCCCTCCTGTGGCCACGTTTGAGCCCAGAGCCCAAGAGATCCTTGCCTTCTGGTGACTGGGGGGCAGTCCTTCAGGGAGGGTCCTGAATCCTGGCTTTCAGGCCTGGAGAAGCAGATGGCTCAGCTAAAGGCCCAGATCCAGAGGATGCACGAGCAGGTGAACTTCCTGAGCACCTACATGGACCATGAGTACCCGGTCAAGTCCATCCAGATTGCCATGCTGGGGCGCCAGTTGCAGCAGCTGAAGGACAGTCATCAGGTACGTGGGTCCAGCCCCGCCCTTCCGGGCCCCCGAAAAGAGGCAGGGCTGGTGGCCCACACCCTTCTGCCGCCCCCCCAGGAGGAGCTGGAAGACCTCAGGGAGATGCAGAACAAGGTCCTGCAGTCTTTGTACGACCGGCTGCAGAGGAAGAGAGAAAACATTCTGCATTCGCTGGTGATGGTGAGGCGATCACCGCTGTGGTGGGGACCCAGCGCTGCTCCCCCCTGCGGCCCCTCAGTCTCTGGGTCCTGCTGCCCGGAAAGAGGCCCCTGGGTACCAGACTTCTCCTTTTATTCTAGAAAACCTTGTCTCCCCATCAAGAGGTTCTTCTCCAGAAGACCCGAGAAATCCAGGACTTGTTAAGATACAAGGAGAAGTTTGGAGATGTGAGTGGGCAAGGGGGGGAGTGTCTCGCTGTGTGGGGACAGAGGACCAGGTGGCCAGGACCTGTGGGGGGAGTCAGCTGGTCTGGACGTGGTGCTCAGTGGGTTGCCTGGGGACCGGCTTGGTGCCGGCTGAGGCCTTGCCTCTTCAAGCAGCATCCCTAGTCTTTTTTTTTTTTTTTTTTGCCACACTCAGCAGTGCTCAGGGGTCACTCCTGGCTCTGCACTCAAGGATCACTCCTGGAGGTGCTGGGGGACCATATGGGATGCTGAGGATCGAACCTGGGTCCAGTATGTGTAAGACAAGCACCCTCCCTGCTGTGCTAGCACTCTGGCCCCATCATCCGTAATCTTGAGACCCAGGAGTGACCCCACCAACCACCATCCATTCAGCTGTTATCTCCCATTGACCGTTTTGTTCCTCATGCTGACCATCAGGGTCCACACCTGTGCTGCTTCTCACCCTGCTCCCTCAGACAGCACTGAGTGTGGCTTCTATCACCCACTCTCGCCAACTCTTATCAGCAACCTGCGAGCCATTGCCACCTGACTCCATTCTCCAATGTTTTCTTCCTTCCTTCCTTCCTTCCTTCCTTCCTTCCTTCCTTCCTTCCTTCCTTTCCTCTCTTTCTCTCTCTTTCTTTCTTTCTTTCTTTCTTTCTTTCTTTCTTCCTTCCTTCCGGCTTTTGGGCTATACCTGATGGTGCTCAGGGCTTACTCCTGGCTCTGTGCTCAGGGATCACTCAGGGATCACTGTGAGCCTGACTTCCCTTCCTGGAGTCTCCACTGTCCTGACACCTAATTTCAGGCCATGCCCCTAAGCTGTATTTTTTTTTTTTTTGATGCACAGGGGTTACTCCTGGCTCATGCGCTCAGGAGTCACTCCTAGGGGTGCTCGGGGGACCATATGGGATTCTGGGAGTGGAATCTGGATCGGCCGCGTGCAAGGCAAACGCCCTTCCCGCTGTACTATCATTCCAGCCCTCAGCTGGAATGGTTTCTACTCAACCATTGTGTCCTTTTCTCCCTTTGCGGGGGACATGCGGCGTCTCACTGTCCCTCCCGGGGCCTCTCTCTCAGTACATCGCCCAGCTCGAGGAGAAGATGCCTGTACTAAGGGCCGAGGTGAAGCAGCTCCAGGAACACATCCTGGAGCCCCGGGAGGTTCTGTTCGCTGACATCCTGCTTCGGAGACCCAAGTACGTGATGGCAGAGCGAGCTCTGCTCCCGGCCCTCGAGTCTCGGGGGCAGTGGGTGTGCCTGGCAGAGCCTGCGTGGAGGGGATGGGCTGGGTGTGGACAGGGCCACTGGGCATCTCTGGGCCTCGGTTTCCCCTCTGGGCCTAGCAGGCCAAGGTTGGAACCTCCCGGACCCCTTCCTGTTCCCAGATCCTGGGTGTTGACCAAATGGGTACCATGCTGAGTGTCTGAGTGGCCCAGGAGATGGAGGTGGGTGAAGTGGTTGGTTCCGGGGAGGGACGACCAGGAGTCACCTTTGCAAGGAGAGGAGGGTGGCTTTGGGGTCCCAAAGGAAGAGTCTCTTCTGAGACCAGTTCTCTGCCTGCCCTCCCTGGGTAGGATGGGTTGGATGGGTTTTGGGGTCTGCCCAAAGGATTTTGCCCTTAATGCAGGCATCGTCTCCTCGAGCTGGGATGAGGGCATCTGAGCAGACAGGCCTCTCCCTGATGGCTTCAAAGGACCCCAGGACACTGCGATCTTCCCAGGCCCACCTTTTTTTAATTTTAATTTTATTTATTTATTTATTGAATCGCTGTGGGAAAAGTTACAAAGCTTTCAGGTTTAGGTCTCGGTCATGCAAATATCAATCACATTTCCCTTTACCAATACTTATTTTTCACCACGAAGAACCCCAATAAACCCCCACCCCCCACCCCCAATGCCTGTGGGGCAGATGAATTCTAGTTAACACTCTATCTACTTTGACTAGCTTCATTGTTTCGATAAAAGTTGCACCATTATTATTTAGACTTTACCCCCCCCTCAAATCAGCCGTGCTGAAAAAGCATTGTGAAATGATTTGCTTTCTACAGCTGGGTTCAAGGATTAAATGATGTAGCGCGGCCGCAGTAGCGGCCGCGCGGTTTTGGATTTCTGCTATTTTATTTATTAACCCTGGAAGTATTTCTACTGAGAGTTAGATAGTTAAGAGATTGGTTTCTATGCTTCTGGGGCCGTGGCTGTGCCGGAGAGCCGCTCGTGGGGGGCAACTGGTGACCTCGATAGGGCGTGAAGGACGGGCCCCAACGCCCCCTCCCCCGCCCCCCCTCCCGCGTCCCATGAGGTTTCGGTCGCGCCCCAACCCCCGGCTCAGACCTGCTCTCCACAAGGCTCCCATGCTGCCGCCATCTTTCTTTCCAGAGAGGAGAGGGCGGACTATTTTTATTTTTTTAAATTTTTATTAGTGGAACACCATGAGGTACAGTTGTAGACTTACAAATTTTTGTGCTTGGGACCAGGCCCACCTTGATTCGATTCCAACTGCCACATATGACCCTCTGAGCACCACCAGGTGTATTGGCTCTGAGCACAGAGCCAGGAGTAAGCCCCATGCACTGCTGGGTGTGACCCCAAAACCTAGTCAAACCAAAACAAAACAAAACTGTAAAGAGTAAGGGAGACATAGGCCAGATTCTGACTTTTATTCTGTTAAAGCTGATTTTGGTTTAATTTCCGGAGGGCTTCCCAAGCAAGGCTCAGTGGATCCAGGGGTCACTCCTGGAAATTCTGGGCTCGCCACACTGGACAGGGCAGTGCTTGGCCCAGTGATGTGATGTAGCCCAGGCCCAGCGCCCTCTGGTGGTGCTTGGCAGAGATGTGTGGTGCCAGGAGTGAGGAACTTGGCTTTTGCTCATGCAGGTGCGTGTTCCTGCCTTCTGAACTCCCTCTCCAGCCCGGAGAAAGGAGGATTTTATTCTATGTTGGTTTTCGAGCCACACCCAGCTGTGCTTGGGACTTCCTCCTGTTTCTCTGTGCTCAGGAGTCACTCCGGGTGGTGCTGGGTACCATACGGGATGCCGAGGATCCAACCCAGGTTTGCTGTGTGCAGAGCAAATGTCCTCCCCGCTGTACTATCCCGCCAGCCCCAGAAAGCTGATTTTAGAGAATGTAGCTTAAAGCTGTAAGTCTCTTGACTTCTGGATACCGGGATGCAGAATTTGGCGAGTGATGTTCCCTTGTCCTGGGGGAGAATGGCCCCTGGGAAGTGGCCCCTGGGGAGTGGTCCCTGACTTCCTGACTTTTGTACTGGGCTGGTGGGGGCCCTGCATCCAGGGACAGGAAAGGTGGGCCGGGGGAAGGATGCACATGCAGGTGGGAGGTAATAGCCGCATGCGGTGGCATGATCAAGCGGATTTACCTTTATCTCCGCGTGGACCTCGAGGCAGGTGGTTAAGGATGTGAGTGCAGATCCCACTTGGTCAGAAACTGGGATTGGTTGGGGTGGGACCTTGAGCCTTGACTGGGATTGGCTGGGATGGGACCTTGGGCCTTGGCCTGTGCAGCCTCCCCAACCCCCCGGTCCCCCTCCGTCGGAAAGTATAACATTCTTAATCTGGTATGATTTAGTAGATTCTTTTTCTGGGAGGTGGGGGGTTGAATTGGGTAACACCCAGCAGTGCTCAGGGGCTGCTTCCAGCTCTGTGCTTGGGGGTTGCTCCTGGCAGTGCTCAGGGACCACGTGGTACCTGGGATCAAATAAGGGTTGATCCGTGTGCAAGGCAAGTGATTTTATCCCTGGAGTGAAAACTCTTTTTTTTTTTTCTTTCTCGGGTCACACTTGGCGATGCACAGGGGTTACTCCTGGCTCATGCGCGCAGGAATTACTCCTGGCGATGCTCAGGGGACCATATGGGATGCAGGGAATCGAACCCGGGTTGGCCGCGTGCAAGGCAAACGCCCTACCCGCTGTGCTATCTCTCCAGCCCTGGAGTAAAAGCTCTTTAGCTCGGATTTAGTAGGAAATTTTTGGGGCTTGAGAATGTCTCCAAATGATTTCATCTATGTTTATGGGAACAATCCCAGACCACCCAAGCCATCTGCCAAATCCTACCGGACAGAACTCTACTTTTGCAGAGCAAGGGCCCTGTTTAGATGCTGTTCCCATCCCTTTCTGTTATTAGCACTGTAGTACTGTCCACCCATTGTTCATCGATTTGCTTGAGTGGGCACCAGTAACGTCTCCATTGTGAGACTTGTTGTTACTGTTTTTGGCATCTCGAATACGCCACGGGGAGTTTGCCAGGCTCTGCCGTGTGGGCAGGATACTCTCGGTAGCTTGCCAGGCTCTCCGAGAGGGATGGAGGAATCAACACGGGCCTGCCGCATGTAAGGCAAACGCCCTACCCACTGTGCTATAAAATTCTAAGACATAGAAAAGTAGAATATTGTGAAAGACCCACTTAGTTTTATAGGTTTAGAAGTTGCTGTGATTTCTTTTTTGGGGGGGCATGAATGAGTGGGCACACTTGGCAGTATTTAGGGCTACTCCTGGATCTGCACCATAGGGGGTACCAGGGATAGAATCGGGTCGGCCGTGTGCAAGGCCAGTGCCTTCCCCACTGGACCGTCTCTCTAGCCCCAGTTGCTGTGTTTGGGCCCTACTGGCCCGATCTCTCCCAGAAGCGTTAGGTGCAGGTATCCTGATATCACATCCCTAAGGGTTTCTGCGTGCAAAGCAGATTACAGCAGAAGAACCGAGAGGACTGGGGGGAGAGAGAGAGGTGAGATAGTAATCCTGCAGCCGTATCCCTGGGGGGGCGGGTGGCTGGGCGGGGAGCACCTTGCTGTCTTGTACCTGGATGGGACGCATGATGCCTGCCCCGACCAAGCCCTGTACTGTGCCTTAGTCACTCGAATCCTCTGCCACCTCGGAGGCAGGAGGCAGTACGGGTTGGGCAGAGGCCCTTGTGGGGCCCGTCACCCAGTGGACTGCTTGTGAAGCCATGCCGGCTGCAGGGACGGGGGTTCCGGGAGAAGCTGTGTGCTTACGTGACTGCCTCCAAGATTCTAACTCAGTCACCCTGACTCCAGGAGGGGTGTGTGGGCCTGTGCGACAGTGCAGTGGGTAAGGGTGTTTTTCTTGCAGGTGGCAGATCTAGGTTCAATCCCCGGCAACCTGTATGGTTCCCTGAACTTCACCAGGAGGGATCCCTGAGCACAGAGTTGGGAGTAAACCCAGAGCACTGCTGAGTGTGGCCTCCAAACCAATCTCTTGGCCCAAGCCCCTAAAAGAGTGTGTTTCTTGGGGAAGAGAGGTAGCTCAGAGGGTGAAGTGTGTGCCCTTCCCGTGAGATGCCCCACGGTGCCTTCTCATCCCGCAGGGCTGGGTCACCGCTTCACCTCCACCAGGTGCTGCCGGGCTGGTCCCAGCAGGGCCCACCCGGGCTGATCCTCCTCAGGAGTGGCTCGCAGCCCCCACTCTTTGTGAAGAAAAGAGAGGTCGGGGTGCAGGACCTCAGCCTCTGGGAATATGTTCCCTCGCAGTCCCCTCGCAGTCTCGGCCCTCCCATAGAGGAACTTCCATCTCGCCAAACCCGTTCCTGTTTCATTTTGATGTTTGTGGGTGTGTGCGTGTGTGTGCATGCGTATGTGAGTGCACTTGTGCTCGCATGCCGGGATGTGTGTGCTTGTGTGTGCATGTGAGTGTGTGCACACAGTTGGCTTTGAGTTTACAGGGAGTTTTGGACCGGAGCCGCTCCTCAGGTTGGCCATTCCTTAAGTCATGGCCAGTGTTCAGGAGGGTGGGGGCCCCCTGAGGGGGGCTGTGCTCCCTGCCTCTGCCCTGCTTGGCCTCTCACACCTGTCTCTCTTCTTCCCTCCAGGTGCACCCCAGATATGGATGTCATCCTTGACATCCCCGTGGAAGAAGTGCTCCCCTTCTAGGCGGTGTGCTCTGTGCCACTCTCAGCTGGAACTGAGCTCAAATCATCCGCGTCCAGGATTATGTCCCTCCCTCCCTCCCTCCCTCCCTCCCTTCCTTCGGTTCCCTCCTTCCCTTCCCTCCGTTCCCTCCCTCCCTCCTTTCCTCCCTTTACCTTCCTTCCTTCCTTCCTTCCTTCCTTCCTTCCTTCCTTCCTTCCTTCCTTTTCCTCTCTCTCCATTTTTCCCATCTCTCCGTTTCTCCTCTCCATCCTTTTCCTTCCTTCCCATTGATGTGGTTCCTTGTACTAATGGGAGTGCCCACCAAGGGGACCATTCCTTTTTGCCAATAAAACACAGTTTTTAAATTTGCTCTTGGCCAGTGTCTGGGAGTTCCCAGCAAGATCTTCTACTAGAAGTAGTAGTAGGAATACACTTTATCTTCGGAGAAGGGATGTGCATCTGTACTGTTTTGGGGGAGGCGCAAAACATATTAAATTGGGGCCAAAGAGATAGAACAGGGGTTAAGGTGCTTTTGCCTTGCATGTCACTGGCCTGGGTTTCATCTCTGATACCACACGTGTTCCCCCAAGCATCGGCAGCAGTGGCCGCTGAACACAAAGCCAGAACTAAGCCCTGAGCCCCGCTGGATGTGGCCCCCAAATCAAACCAACCAACCAATCAAAACTCCCGAAAACTTATCCTGTTGTGTCTGGGGATGTTGACCGAGCAGCAGAGCCCTGACCTTGCTGTCACGAGCCTGGGTAAAGTTACCCCCCAGCACTGCAGCCAGCAGAACTTCCTGAGTGGTGCTGGGGGGAGATCTGCTCAGTTCCTGTGGCACCTCGTCCCCAGTGGGTTTGTGTCAGGTGGAGGGACATTCCTTAGGTTTGAGACACTCGTGCACTCAGAGTACCTCACAGCTAGTGGCTGAGTCTGCTGCCTCTACCCCCAACTGCCTTTGGATATGAGCTCCAGCCCATAGTGTTGGGCACAGTTCCTTACTACAGACTCTTGTGGGGGACATAGGTGACACCTGGACCCCATTCAGGCCGGGACTCCAGACTCTGGTGTCCTTTAGGGTTTCCCCAACTGCAGGACTCTTAAGAGACCCTTGCTCTGGCTAGCAACTGCTTGGTGTGCAAGAATCAAAGGTCCAACTCTCTGGCCTATTGAGGGACCACTCTGAAAAGTTGTCCAGGAGGCCGGAGAGATAGCACAATGGGCAGGGCACTAGCACACTCCTCGAGCTAGCGTCCTACACGGCTCCTCAATCCCGGCCGGGAGTGATTCCTGAAAGCAGAGACAGGAGCAAGCCTTGAGCACCACCAGGTGTGGTTCCTCTCAAAAATAAGACTACTGGGGCTAGAGCAATAGTACAGCGGGTAGGGCGTTTGCCTTCCACGCAGCTGACCTAGGTTCGATTCCCAGCATCCCATATGGTCCCCCGAGCACCGCCAGGAGTAATTCCTGAGTGCATGAACCAGGAGTAACTCCTGTGCATCACTGGGTGTGACTCAAAAAGCAAAAAAAAAAAAAAAAGACTACTGTGGCGGGGGTGGGTGGGGGTTGGGGGGATGGTGGGTGTGGTCTTCTGAAGCATCCACTGAACGCATGCCTGGGTCTTCGTGTGCCTCTGCTATTCCCAGGTGGGTCTGCCCTGTGAGGAGTCCCTATCAAAAGCCTCCTGCAGCTTATGAACTCAGAGGTCTAGGGGAGGAGGCAGAAGCCATGAGTCCTGGGGCAGAAGCTTTGGGTTTGGTGTCTTTGAGGAGGAGGTGTTAATAGGAGCTTTGGAAAAGGGCCTTGACCATAGGCATCCTATATAGCGGTTCCTGAAAAAGTGAGGCTGTGGGTTAGGTTGTAGGTTAACAGGGCTTCTGAACTCTAGGGCCACCTGGAGTGGCTTTTCACAAGGTGACCGGAGCACAAGTCGAGTCAGCCAAAGGCATCTCTGCTCGCGTATGGGCCAGCAGTTCACCTGGCAAAGGACAACCCATGTGGGGCTAGAGCGAGAGTACAGCAGGTAGGGCACTGGCCTTGCACCTGGCACACCCGCATTCAATCCCCACCACCCCATACGGTCCCTCGAGGCCACCAGGAGTGATCCCCGAGCACGCCGGGTGTGGCCCCCAAACAAACAAGTCTCATATCCAGGCCCCATGTCAGGAATTGAGAGAAGTCAGTACATGCCAGGCAGGAACCCAGAGGAGCGTGGCTTTTCGCCTAAGAAGGCGTGGCTACTTTGCTATTTCTGCTCGAGAAAATGGTCACAGACTTAAGTAAAACAACACACATTTATTCCCTTCAGCTCTGCCGTTCAGGTGTCTGGCCTTACGTGTTCAGGTGTCAGAAGGAAGGCCTGGATTCGTTCTTCAAGACTCCAGAAGAGAATTTATTTGATTGTCTTTTTCTTGAGGCAGGAGGGGGTGCCCACAGGCAGTCTGTGGCCAGGGAAAGTTGCTCAGTTACTTGGAGGTAGTTTCCTGTCCCCTCTGGATGCTTTCTCTCTCTCCCCCTCTCTCTCCTCTCTCTGTGTGCCTGTTTTCTTTGTCTGGAGTCTTCAGTACAAAGCGACCTTGACCTGGAGGTAACAGATAGGCAAGGGAGAGGGAAGGCTAAGCACTCCACCAACTGACAGTCATCCTTTTCCCCCATATCTATTACATCTATTACTGTAGTTGCCTCTGGTGTCACCTGGAGGGAAAAGTCACAGGCAAGACTCTGTGGGAGTTGAAGATCTCCCTGTGAGGGTGGGGAGAACCGTGTCAGAGGGGCAGGCTCAGTTCCCACCACTGCATGGTCCTCTGAGCCCGGACCCACTAGGAGTGACCCCTGAGCCTGCACTGGAGATGACAAAACTAACATTTCTATATTAGATTTGATTTTGTTTTGTTTTGGGGCCACACCTGGTGGTGCTCAGGGCTTGCTCCTGGCTCTGCACTCAGGAATCACTCCTGGCCGTGCTTGGGGACCTTATAGGGTGCTGGGGATGGAACCTCCCTGCTGTACTATCACACCGGCCCCTCCATGTTAGATTTGAATCCCTAGAAGAAAATGCAGGCAGAGATTCCCACCGCAGCGCCTCAGACGTGTCTTCAATGAGTCAAGCCCCATGGGCATGGAAAACAGGAGCTAAGGAAAACAAACAAGTACACCACACTGAAGCAAGAAGTTTCTGCACTGTGAAAAAAGAAAATGACAAAAATAATCTAATGGGGGCTGGAGCAATAGCACAGCAGGGAGGGCGTTTGCCTTGCACGCGGCCGACCCGGGTTCTATTCCCAGCATCCCATATGGTCGCCCCGAGCACCGCCAGGAGTGATTCCTGAGTGCATGAGCCGGGAGTAACCCCTGTGCATTGCCAGGTGTGACCCAAAAAGAAAAAAATAAAATAAAAATAAAAAATAAATCTAATGGAATGAGAGAAAATATTTGTATTCCATACTACTGCCAAAGGCCTATTATACAAGATATAAAAAGGACTCACAATCAGTTTTTGGGGGCCACACCCAGTGGTACTCAGGGTTACTCCTGGTACTCAGGAATCACACCTGACGGTGCTCAGGGGACCATATGGGAACTGCGGAGTGAGACTGGGTCGGCTGTGTACAAGGCAAGTATCCTACCTGCTATACTATCGCCTTGGCCCAAAAAATTAAGAAGGAAGAAGCAACCTTATAAAAAAAACTGGGGAGAAGAGCTAAGAAGACACTTCCTCAAAGTGGCATGCAGATGGTTTACCTTGCATGCAGGGCTGGCGCGATAGCACAGCGGTAGGGCGTTTGCCTTGCACGCAGCCAACATGGCTGACCCGAGTTCGATTCCTCCGCCCCTCTCGGAGAGCCCGGCAAGCTACCGAGAGTATCTCGCCCGCACGGCAGAGCCTGGCAAGCTCCCCGTGAGGTATTCGATATGCCAGACACAGTAACAACAAAGTCTCCAATGGAGACGTTACTGGGCCCGCTCGAGCAAATCGATGATCAACGGGAGGGCCTTTACCTTTACCTTTAAAATTATTCACAGTGATGAATCACATTCAATATTCCTTCAATATTCCAACACCAACCCCACCACCATTACACCTTCCCACCATCATCATTTCCTATTTTCCCAACCACTGTATCTGTTTTTTGGGGCCACACTAGATGAGTTTTGCTCAGGGCTTTGCAGGGATCCCTCTTGGAGGGGCTGGGAAGCCTCTGGGGTGCCAGGGATCAAACCAGGGTCCACCCTGTTCAAGACAAGCACCTTACCTGCTTACCCTCTGCTATTTCTTCCCTCTCCCCTTATTTAGATTTGAAACATTTAATTACTTTTTCTCTGAAAAAAGTTCTCTTTTAGTTTTGGTAGGGACAGTTCGAAAAGCTTATTCTGGGGCTTCCGTGAGTCTTGCTAATCTGGTAAGTGAAGGTGCACTGAGTTCCCGCTTCTGGAGGTCACGTCGAGGTTTTAAGCCCCCTCCTCCGCCCCCCCACCCCCGCAGTGTTCCTTAGCCCCCAGAAGCCCGTGTGGCCACGGCGAGCACTTACGGAGCATGGCCAGCAGATGGCGGCATAGGGCCAACAAAATCAACCCGAGGACCCTTGAAGGGCGAGCTGGAGGGCAAGGATTCAGCAGTAAATCTCCAACGGCGCCTTTTCGTGCAGAGCTGGGCCCTCGGGGTGATGGATTTGGCCATTAGAGGGGCGAGTGGCAGGCCTCGCGGTGCCAGCGGAGCTACCGGGTCGGGCCGCCTGCGTCCCCTCACACCCCCTCGGGTTCCTTTTTTCTTCTTAATAGCCCGTCGGCTGCAGCCGGACCCCTCCCGTCCTGCTCAGCTTTTGCACTGGCGAGGCTCCTGCTTTCAGCATTTTTCTCCAGGCCCTGCGGGGCTGGCCCGCGGGGCTCCCTTAATTCAGGTTTCTTTTCTCACGTAACTCTTGCCAGGCCCCCTTTCCCTCCCTTCCTTCCTCCCTCCCTCCCTCCCTCCTTCCCTCCCTCCCTCCCTCCCTCCCTCCCTCCCTCCCTCCCTCCCTCCCTTCCTTCCTTCCTTCCTTCC